AACCCCCTTTTTCAACCAACTGGAGCCGAACGTGAATCCGATTTGCTCTGAGGAGGAGGAGCGGTCCAGGCAGCTAGAGGCCGGGTTTCTGCCAGCGGCTACAGTGATTCAAGGGGATGTTCGGAGCTCAGGGTTTCCTTGATAGGTTTCCTGCACACATCTTCTGGTACAAAAAGCACACACCGAAGCCCTGATAAACGCACGGCGGAGGGAGGAGGGGCGGGGGGTCTGAAGTTTGAGCACTTGGTTCTAGGACTTCAGTTGGAGCGCAGCATGCCCAACAACACCAGGGCTGGGTGGCCATCCGAGAGAGTCCAAAGTGGCCCAAAGAGCTGAGACTGCTGGAGGGTCTTGTCTGCCCTGTTTGGAAGCCCTCGCGGGCTCCCTTGAAACTCCGAAGCCTTTGTAAAAGGAGTGGCAAACCTGACCTCAAAGGTATTGCGAAGCCGCCGTTGCTCTTCACAAATCGCTTCTGGGTTTGAAGGTTTCAGGGTTGATGCCTTGTAGATCCACGCAGAAGTAGCATGCTGAGGGTCCCTGCCAACACTTCGTTCTGCACAGGAGCAGCGACAGGGAGCTACCCAGGGTCGGTGGCAGGGAGCTCAGACTCGGCATTCATCTCGGAATCACAGTCTCACACACGCACACGGAGACACAAGCCAATGTCCCAAAACGCAAGTCAACAACTCCGCGCCTTCACAAGCCCCTCACAAGCCTTGACAAGCCCCGGGCCGCGAGCCTCAATTGAACAACCTTCAAGGCTTTCAAAAGACAGCTCTCCATCACGGGGTCACCACAATCCCTGGTGTTTGTGGGGGCACAAGCCGCTGCACGCGCTTGCAAGGCAGCAGTTCGAGGAGGAGTTGGAGCGCCAGTGGGCTGAGCAAGAAGCTGAGGAGCCTCTTGAGGCTTAAAGGAGGAACATCCACCCCCATCCCGAATGGTCAACATTCCCAGCACAGCGTTTGGGGAGGATGTCGAGGTGTTCAGGGTCCGAGAGTCCGAGGGGCCTCCTCAACAAATGCAGATTCGGGTTGGACTGCGGCTAGGAGCGCCGACGCTTGGACGATTATGCACGAGACCGGAGGCGGCAGTTCGAGGTGCTTCCTGCTTGTCAGGGCCTTTCAGACTTTGAGCATGTGAGTTCACCCCTCATACTGTGTGAATCTGAGGCCCATGCCTATGTTGATCTAATGGAAACCTAGACCCTCACCGCCCTAGACCTTGAAGGGGAGACTAGTTGACGAGTTCCGAGCCGGTGTTTGCCAGGAGTGGGAACGATGCCTGGCAGCCGAGAGGCCTGGAAGCCTACAAGTGAATCACTAAGTTTAGGATTTAGGGTTTAGGGTTTGGAGTTTAGGGTTTAGGGTTTAGGGACTATTGTGACTATTTCCGAGAAAACGTGTCCCAGGCAGCGGTACGCCACGGAGGCCGAGTTCTGTGCTGCAGCACGCCGGCAGAAGGTGCGTGCACCCGCACTTTTACATCCTTCGAGCGATCCTTGCCACCCAGAGACTCTAATATCCCTTAATTGAGGAATGTACCTTAAATTATAGTAGGATCCCTAATATGATTTAAGGTATATTCCTTAATTAAGGGATATTGGAGTCTTTAGCCAGATCATGCATGGTGACACAACTGCATGGTGGTGCCTTCACGCTGCGCCCAATCATGAGAAACCCGGCCCAGGAGAATAGCTTCCTCAAACACACCGAGCATTTTGCAAAGATTCTTGCCTCAGGAGAACGTCCGCCCTTCCCCAATATAAGAAGGAAGCTAAAGGACTTGGCCGAATGGGCTTTGAAAGCGAGCGTTCAGGCGCGGATCGCCGCCCAGGCCGATGAGCAGCTTGGGGCCCAAGAGCTGTTTCTCTCGGATGTCTCATGGAGCTGGCTCATGGAGGTTTGGGGAAGCTTAGGGGCACTCAGAAGGCTGCTTGTAAGCCATGAGAGCCTTAAGGTTCTACGCACCTCAGCGCGAGCTTCCGGGGCGGTCTGCCAGCTCAGATTCGCGTTTAGTGGTGAGGGTTCGGCGGTGACGGGGGGCATTGGTGGGGTTTAGGGTTCTACCGTGTCCCCCAATAAGCACACAAAGTGGTTCAACAACTTGACACAGCCGGCGCCTGGGGCCTTGGAGTTGGGGGGGGAGGGGGGGGAAAGAGGGAGATCCGCGGTTCGAGTGGATCAGGCCCTGGCCCTCCGCGACCCCCTCGCCACCCTCAGGACGCCTTGCTTTGGCAGAGCGGGTTCGGGTCCGAAGCTTCCAAAAGCAGCCGAGGCAATCCTTCCATGTGTAATGAAAACATTTACCAGGTCGAGCTTCCCCCTCAAACCGTATCCCCAAGACCCCCAAAAGCCTTGCATGTTGGGCTCAAAAGGGCTTGCGATCGCTTGGCAACAAGGGGGGCTTGAATCGCCTCCAGGGTTGCAAGTTGCAGCACATTCCTTCGCTGGGAACCGTCTCTTCCCCTCTCAAGAGCCCTCTGCTCGGGAGGATCCCCCGTGCGGGACCGCCTGGGCCCGGAGGAGCGCGCGCTGCTCAAGGACCGCAGCCCCCGCACCCCCTCGTGCGCTGCTTCGTGGGTATACAGGGCGAAACAGGGACACGTTTAATGTTTAAAGAGGGTTCTGGTTTGAGGCGCATGTTTTTTAATCTTGAAGGTTTCTTCGGAAGGCCTCCCCAGCACACGAGAGCTGTGGGCTTAAGCGCTTCCTCCTGAGAAAGCCCCGGAAGAGAAAGACCTCAATGCGCGCTGGGTCTTGGGGTTTGGGGCGACCTTCGACTTTCAAGGGTGTTAGAGGGAAGACCACACGCAGCCCCCCCAAGCTGTCTCTTCAATCGCCCCAGGAGATGCAGTCGGTGCAGATGGCCCCTCGAGAGGTCCAGAAGGCCAAAAGGGGAAAAGAAACAAATTGGGGCCCCTGAGTTTGCCTCCATTGCAATCTGCCCAATGTCCAAAAAAAGGGTTCAGTGGAGGAGCTATGGGATGCTTGAGTAGGAGCTGGAAACAAAGGAAAAGAAGAGCCGCAAGCTGCAGTGGGCCAGGCCAAAGTGAAGGACCTCCTCCTCCGATGGCACCCGGACAAGAACCCGGGCTGCCCAGAGAAGGCTGGAGGGCCTGATCCGATTCACCTCAGAATACGGCATGCCCCACGAAAATACCTTTGGCCGACCATGCGACCTGGCCCAACAGATTCTTTACGACATGTTGGGGGCTTCTACTGGCCTTGTCCAGAGAGTAGAGTAGAAACTCGCACTGCATGTTGACGCTTCTGACGCGCCGACTGCTCTGCGACTGCTCTCGACCCTAAGCCCACGCCTTTCACCCAGCACCTCACCGCCGCGCTTCCAGAACGAAGACGGAAGGGGGGCGAGAGAAGGGTTTAGGGCGCTCATTGGCGGTCTGTGGGGGGGGTGGGATGAGAGGCAGGGAAAGCACGGGATATCCTGCATTCTGCTTATGGGGTTGACGCCCACATGGCCGGGGTCGAGGCGAATGAAGGCATAAAACTCTCACAACCCAAAAAAACCCCAACAAAGAAACTCAAAAGAGTCCCTAAACCCTAAGCCCTAAACCCAAAAGAGTCCCCAAACCCTACACACTAAACCCAAAAAAGTCCCGAAACCCTAAACACTAAACCCTAAACTATTATGCGACCAGGCCAAGGAGCTCTTCCAATTCGTCCAGCAGCCACGGGCCCAGCTCACGGGGGCAAGCAAACACGCGAAGCTTGCCTCTTCTAGATCGCGCATGAGGACGGGAAGTGCAACCTTGGGTCTTTCACGCTGTTTCCAGCTTTAGCCTTTGCGCGCTGGCTCCAGACGTATCCGACAGCATTCGCGTTTTTTTTTGTCATGCTGCTGCAGCTTTTTGCGTTGAACATGCTGCAAGTAGAAGTCTCAACCGTGGGACGGTCGGGGTGTTTTAAACTTATCCTTTCGAGAGCCCTGACCTTCCGCGATATGAAAACATTCACCCCCACAGCGAAGCAGCTGGTGGCAGCTAGAAATGGCCACCCAGACGAAGATCAGCCCCGAAACCGTGGTGTCAGAAAGCTCATCCAATGCTTCGTAGCGGCTGACGATGCCAAGCGAGCAACGGGGTCACCAGAACACAGAGGCGTGACTCGTGACGGCGAAGATGCTCTGACAATAACATGTTTCGAAACCCTATCAACATAGGGCCTGGCCTTGAAAACGTCACGCGAAGACATCTTCCCACGACCGCAGCGAACGCGAGTGAACTGTGACGATGTAGTAGATGGAAAAGTTGCCGCTGCAGGGAATCAGGGTTCAGAAAGAATCTTTGCCGCAGCCGCGTTCACGCAAAGACTAGTAGACATGTTTGAAACACTTGGGTACGACTTTTCAAGAAGAGAATCCAATCATGCAGTTCACGCAAACAGGCACGTGCCGTTCCACAGCCGCACTCAATCCACCAGTAGTTGCGGTACACTGCAAAACGAATACACAAACCGACGCCTGCCGAGGCAGAGACAAGCGGTTCTTGGCCTGTGAGATGCGCACAGCCGCAATTCGTTTCACTTTAGCGGAGGTGGGCCAAGTCGCCTCTTTCAGCTTCTGAGACTATGCGCTTCTGTGTGGCTTCTGTGAAATTGCAGACTGCTTCACAGCTTGCAGCTACTCGCCGGGCTCTGACAAAATTGTCCGAAGGTGCTACAGCTGCTACAACTGCTGCAACGGACAGGTTTCTGTTCTCCCGTCCGTCTCAAACACCTGTAGCATGCTGCAGCGACGCTAGCTCTGATCTTGCCGCAGGAAGCATCATGTTTCAAGGTTCCTTGTCTGTTGGTTTCAAGGCCAATACGTGCTTTCCTTGCTGTTGAAGAACGTCGAGAATGACACAGCTCTTGCGCATTCAAAGAAAAACCAACGCAGTAGGCCAAACCATAACAAAAGGAACCTCCCTCCCAAAACGCATAGTGCTTGCTTTTGCAGCCAACTTTATACCATAGTCCCTTTGCAGCTACAGCTCCCTGATGTTCTCCGACGATGCACGTGAATGGACACTTCACGTGAACGCAGCCGTGGACGGCGGAACGATATGCTCAGTGAAAGCCCTTCCATCAGAGGCTGTGGCTGCAACTAACATGCTGCTTAGCTAAACGCTTGCTAGAGCTTTCTGCAGAACGATGTCACCGCTGACCGGTCCAAGCGATAAAGCAGATAGACATGAAAGATCCCAATCTGGGCACAGAAGGCCCAATTGGCCCAATTAGGAGATATGAGTATGCCATGATAGATACGAGTCTCCCAACCATGTCATATGAATGTGTTGTATATGGACTTGCCCCTAGTCGCGCCAAACCCTAGTCAGGCCCTAGTCCCCCAAAACCGCCCTGAACCCCAAGGCCTACACCCTACAAAGTCCGTGAGGTGAGGTGAGGTGAGGGATGGTGAGGTGAGGTGAGGTGAGAGAAGGTGAGAGATAGGTGAGGTTGCGACCCGCCCGCAGTTACGCTGCAGCCAGCCTACCGTCCCAGAGTTCAAGTGAGGACCAGCGCGCAAAGTGTTACCAAGACTCTGAGGGCCAACAAGGAGCATTGTCATTTGCCAGGGGCCTCTCGCTGACGCCGGGTGGCTCCCTGCCCCCCGACAAACTGAGATGTGCCGCAGAGGCAGTGAGAGATGTGTTGGGGAGAAAGGAAGAAGGCACCGACGGCATGTACAGCGCATCAGCCTTCAAGCCTTCAAGGCGATGAGCTTTGACCCATCATACACCGGTTTGTCTTGGCCATTCGTCCAGCAATTCGCCCGATGCGCGTCTTCCTGTAACCGCGCCTTTGGTTCAACACGGGAAGAAAATCCCGTGTGTGTGTGTGTGTGTGCGCGTGTGTAAAGTTGAGTCTCGCCGAGCACTCATCGAAGTCGCACGTTGCTGGCGCTGCTACGTGCTTTCACTGTCCCTAAAGCCGAAGACAGGTCTGTGCATTTGTTCAGAGCCGTGAGACCGCCCCCAAGCCCGGCTTCGTGTTCCACGGCCCGCTCAGGATTCCGTGGCTTCGCTGCGGCAGAAGGTTGTGGTCAAGCTGGGTGGCTGTGCCTGCATTGATGGCCTTAGATTCCTTAGATGGCTTCATGTTCAGGCAAGATGCACAGTTGAGGGTTGTTCTGTGCCGACTGTTGGAAAGTAGCACGCAGCAGGCTCAATCCAAGGCTTTCGCCTGAGGCTGGCGGTTTCTGACATGCCGGTCACGCGTAAACCTGAGTCACTTGCGCCTCGCGTCGATACTTAAATCACAGCTAGGCCACAGCATGGATTGCTCGCTGTCTGCTCCTTCCTGAACCTGCTTCAGCTCTCCGAGGCTTTGTTGTCTGACCCAGGGAACTTTAAGTTCTTCAGGGGTTACCCGCGAAAACCCTGCAAAACTCTGTAGGCACAATACCCACGTCTTCCTTCCCTCAGTAAGATGGGCCTGCTGAGATCCAGCAGCACCGACAAAGTCTTAAACCCAAAAGAACTCCTATCCAACCAGGCTGAAAAGGAAAGCACCACCACCCCCCCAAGCCACCCCATCCAGACGATGGTTCTTCCCTCTTCTGTTCTGCATATGATTCTTTTGGACGTGGTCGACCACGTTGTCCCTCACCCGGATGTTATCTTCTGCACTAGATGTGGATGTTATGGAGTCAGTCGACCACGTTGTTATCAACCCCCCCCCCTCTCACACAAAAATTATCGGCTGGAGTCGATACATGTGGTTTTTATGGATTCAATTGACTTGTTGCCAATCTGCCCACCACTTTCCACGCCCCACGTGGTCGCAAGCGACTCGAAACACGTGGTCACAAGTGACGGTGTTGCCCGTAGCGTGTTATGGTGTATTCCTGCATTGCGCCTTTGTGGACTGCAACCAACCCCGGGTTCAAAGGCCCAGAGTAATGGGCGGGCCCGATTTGTCGCGTCCGCCTGCGACGCAACGTTCTCGGAACATACAGGGTTTGCAGGTTGTGAGCTTTCTTCCTCTGCAGTATGATACATCCAAGGCTATGTTGCTCGATTCCGCTTACTTGCTGGCTGCTGTATCCTCACTGGGGGGACGAGCCTCGAAGCAGCTGGGCCGAACTTTTTCCAGTGCTTGCTTGGAGCAACATCTCAATCCCACTCCCGAAGTCCTGTAACCGCGCCTTGAAACGCTTCGAAGGCAGCTGGTCTTTGTGACAATTGCTCACTGCAGCTGATCTGGCTGCCTTCCGACGTGCTTGCGACAGCTTCGACGGACACAACAGCTGCCTTCTGGAGCATCGAGTCAGGAGACGCGGGTTTCTCCGCCGGCCAATGCACTATTCTGGCCTCACATGGGTCTGCCATGCCGCCAAACCTCATCAAACCCTACAGGCCGTAGAACTAAAACAAGCCTTCCAAGAAACAGGGAGCACATGTAGAGTTGTTCAGACTTCTCGGTTGACCACTGACTATTGCGCACTCAAACTCCAGGCTTTGCAGGTGAAGGCCGTAAGGTGTTTCGCCCTCAGCCCAGATACTTGCCCGGAACATGAAACATGATGCAGCATGTGCAGGAGAGCGCATGCAGTTGTTCTCGGGCCACGATGACCAGGTATCCGGGTCTCCATCTTCTCTGGGTTTTGGTTTCAGTATTCGACAGTAAGGGCTCACCAGGTCGGTTTAGGGTCTTTGCTTTGGCCACGAATAATGTTATTCGTGACTTTTGGTCCCAGTGTGTTTGTTTTTGTTTCTATCTTAGGAAGAGCTTTGATGAGAAGAACAAAAGCGCTGGTGAAATCAGGGCCCCCGCACAGGCAGCTTTCACAGCAGTATCTCTCATAAGGAAGACCCCTCAGCTGATTCTGCCGCTGCGTCCGACTACCTCCCGTTTCTTTCACTTCCCAGCAAGTAGCATGAGGTGTATGCAGGGCACAAATGGGAAGTGTCCCCGAACAGCTGGGACTTTTCGCAGATTTCCAAAGCAAGGTAGCCGCAGGTGAGTTAAGTGATTTTTCAAGTCGGGACCCTTTATTGTGCGCACGTCAGTCGTTCTTGCAGTCGAAGAAGGTTTTGAAGATGTGTTTGGCTGTGGCCTGTTGATCCCCCGCTTGTGGCCAGTGCACCCTTTGCTTCACAGTCACAGTCCGAGCCACCCAAAATCACGCTGTTGCCTTCTGCAATGAGAAACAAGTCGTGTGAAGAATGCATCATGCCAACCAGGGCCACAAGCAGCTACCCTAAACCCCACACAGCGAGGCTTCAGGGCTTTGATGGTTTTGAAGGCTGGGGTCTTGAATTCCCAATGGCAAAGGAATCATACTGTAGCAAGGCTACGTCCTCATCCGACGTGCAGCTGCTTAGCCATGACACAGCATCCGGCGAAAAGTTCCCAGAAACCGAACCCTACACTAGAAACCTTGCAAGCACCATGGCCCTGCAATTGCTTCGTGTTCCCTTTTGCTTTTGACGCTGGAAGGTTGTGGTCTTGTCCTTGAGCATGCTAACCTTCTGCAATCTTCCCACGTAGATCAGAGTTACCCAAGCCCCGGCAGATATAAGAACACATGTGTGCAGGGTCTCAACAGGTACTCACCCAAAGCCTGGGGCCCTCCGCACTTCAAAGTGCACTAAACCCATTCGACCTTGCAGACTTAACTCAAACAACACCCAAGCCACTGGGCTGAGAAGCTGCCCATGCTCCACACGTGGGCTATGTCTACGTGCGTTCAGTTCACACTCCGACGAGTGAGTGCTTCGCGTTCGCAGTTCTCGCCCTCTCAACAACCATTGTCCCAAGCCTCAACTCACAAAAGGGAGATGAGACCTCTAAATGTAGCTGCAACTGAAGTGGGAGAGGCAGTCGCAAATGAGGCACTTCCAAAAGGGACCAGCTTCAAACAACCCAAACGTATGGTTCCTGTCACGGCCCCAGCTTCAGGTCATGTGGCTTTGCTTTTCAACTGACGGACAACTGCTAGCCTCTTGGCTGAACATGGTACCGCCGGCTCAAAAGGGAGCGTGTTGAAGCGGCCCTTTCTTCCTGAACCCCTCTGATCATGCCCAAGCCCAGCACCTTCCAAAAGAGAGCACTCACCCTTACGAGCTCCTGAAACTCTGGACGCCCTGAAAGACTTATGCATCCAAGAGACCATGGAAAGCAAAAGAAACCCTGAAATGAACAAAACAGAAAAGCCATGACATCAGCCCAACACGCCTCATAAGCCACCAGCCTTATAAGCCACCGGAAGTCTCTGAGCCCAAAGCATCTGGTGCGTTCGGAGCCAGGCGACGGCCTCCACAGATCGCACTGCGAGAATTTGGCCGCCGGCTGGCATTGTGTGAGGCATCGAGGCATGGAGGCATCCTAAGCTCAGAGCTTCTCACCGAAAACTCCTCTAACACATGGACTTTTTGAGGGTTGGGCAGACATTCCCTGACCTTTGACGACCCACCCTGAAGCACGTGGAAAAGCCCTCCGTTGTTTGCATTTTTTTTGGTGTTTGGGGCGCTTTGCCGTTTTGCCTTTCCTTTGCTGAGGTGTGCAGACAGCGGCGAGTGCTTGGCCACGCTGCTCGGCCACAAGGGCCCCGTTTTCTCAGCGCCTGGGCAGGCAGAAGTGTTTAGGGCTTAGGGCTTAGAAGGTGCAGAGGGTGAACAGCTTATGAGGGTTAACTTCTAAGGGCACAGAAAACGAAAGGACGACTTATCATATCTCCTGTATCTCCGGCAAATCTAAATCCCGGACAAGGACCTCAAAATATCCGCTCGCCACAAACTGCCACTCTCTCAGGTAGCGTTCTCTCCTGACAGCCGCCTTGTGGCGACGTGCTCGCATGACCCGACGGGGATGCGATTCGGGCCAGTTCGGCCCTGTTGGGGGAATGCTGGGGGCTTTGGCGGGCTTGCTGCGGCTTTCGGAAAGGAATGGAGTGGTTTCAACCGTGCTGACGAAAACCCGCAAGACAGACGCCACAATGATCCTTGAATCCATGCTCAAACATTCATTCAACAAGACTTAATAAATACACGTATGTTTTTTTATCAAAGGTTCTAAGAGGCATAACATGCATCAGAGTTACAGATTACTCATATCAACCTCCAGATCCAAAACCCGACGACCACGAAAGCGCTCCTGTTTGGACTCTTGTGACGGCACTTGGTGGTGTTTGGGCTTTGGAGCCTTGAGGTCTCAACTTAGGATCTGGGTCTGTGGAAAGCTGTCCTGTCAGACGATGGACATGAGCCCCAGGACAAGCAGATCAGAATATGGACGGTGCCGGACGGGCATTGCATCGACACCCTCATGGGGCTCCAGCCCCAGCGAGATTTTTGGGGATCTGCAAGGAAAGCAACTCGTGGGGTGCGGGGAGAACTTTGGCAATGGGTTCCCCAGCGCTCTTCTTCACTCATCTTCGCCTAAGGCACAGCAAGCAGGTCTTCTCCGTGTCCTGGTCGCGTGATGGCTGGCACCCCAGCGGTAGATCAAGTGTGTGCCCCGGGTTTTTTTCCAGGCAGGCGCTGCAAGCCCTGAACATCGAAAACTCCCACACCCCAGGCACCAAGCAAACAGCAACACCCCAACCCGAAGAAGAGCAACCTTTTCACTGCACAAAACCAGCCCCTCCCCGGTTTAAAAGGCCGAACACTGGCATCCGCGGCAGATGATGCGACAATCCGGCCGGGGGACTCAGCTTGTCAAGCTTGGTTTTTCTTAGTCCGCGGATGCTCAGGGCACGGCCCCTTGAGTAACAATACACCAACGTGGCTTGCCAGGATTTGGGACCATGCTACGCGCACCTGCTCCAAGGAGGGGGTTTGGCTTGAGGGCTTACCTGTTTTCAGTTTCAGCCTGGTGGAAAATGGTCTACATTGGTTTGGTCCTTTCCAGGCTTCAGCAAGGACGTTGGAATGAACCCACGAGCCCAAAACCACCCAAACCCGTTTGAGGGTAAAGCATTGAGGCCCTTAAATGTGTCCGACTGTATCCGCAGGCCCAGGCTGCAGCCAATGAAAACCAACGCCGCACTTCATCTTTTTTTAAACAAGGTTAGCACTGTTTTTGAATGCACGAATGTTCTACGCGGATTCGTTTTATGTGCATGTCAAGCCTCGCCAAGTTGGCTTGCCGTGATGCGAGGGTTAAATGTCCGGATTGCACATGTTGCGTCTGCCCATGGGCTTCCGCTAGCGGCCTTTCAAGATCGGACGGGAGTTCCTTCATCTGCGCGTGCACTCCAGTTCATAGACTCTGGAGTCACATCCCAGTTCTCAGGATTTTCTTATATTGGCTTAAAAGCACGAAGTTCAGATTGTTGACATGGCTTCTACCAACTAGGCTCCCGTCGGTCAGGCAAACGTACCTGCTGCAATGCTCTTGGACGGAGGGTGTTGCACCGCGACAGCGAGTGCGGTATTTTGGGGTCAAAGCATAGAAGACAGAACCTGCCGCTTTGGCAAGGAGTGTGCGACAAGTAAGCATGCAGAAGCAGCCCTTCAGAGCAACGTTTGTTCACGATCAGCATGTCTCGATTGTGTAGTTTTTTCTTGGCGATTCCGAAAGCGCCGACAAAGATCGAGCTATTGAACCACCCACCATGGCACCCAACGCGGGAAAGCGGAATGATCCTGAATCCCCAAAAGAAAACCTTGAAAACATTGGAAAGATGAAGATGTATGTCTGGCAGGTTATTTGCGGCCACACAAGCGCTGCAGCTTCGCCGCATCAGTAGATTGTGGCACGGCGTCTAGGGCGCGGTGTGGAGAGGCCTCTGAAGTTATGCTTTATACCTGCCGAATGCTATTTGTGAAGCGCAGATCATTGGGAGAGCTTGGGGGGCCTTTGGTTTTGAGAGCTCCCGTGCATTCTGCCAAAATTCCGACGTACCCTTTCACCCCGTCCTGGCGACTGTCGACCATCGGAAACTCCATCGGTCGGGGAGTTGCTCGCACATACCAGGCCTCGGTCAGAAGCTCCAACATCTCCGTGTCGGTTCCTGCCATTTTTTTCCTTGTCATCTCATGAGGGTTCCAATGTTTACACAAAGTTTGAAGCTTGGGCGACTAGGGACAAGAGTCCCGGAAGCAGCCAAGCCGAGGTGTACTCAACCAGCATATCGAACGATTCACGTGCCTCGGCTGCCCGTTCATCTTGAGGCATGGCAGCTGGTTTCAGTTTTGCCACGGCTTTACTACTTGAGCTCATGGGCACAAGGAAAATCTCGCAGGACTTCTGAGGTCTGACCAAGAAGCCCCACCCAAAATCAAGATGAGACTCAAAGGCGCAGAAGGCCTGCATGCCAAGTGATGGCTGCCACCGAAGTTTGCAGTTCGCAAGAAAAATTAGGGATGCGCACCCCATGGTTAGACACTTTGGTCAGTTGCTTCTTATTTCCGGCAAAAAGGTTCAGGTTTTGCCGGAAGCGAATGAGAGACGGAGCATCGGAGACAGAGCGGAAACAGGGCGGACCGGCATCTGAGGTCGACTGGTCAGCGCAAGTGAGGACACCTGCGGGGGGGGGGGGGGCGGGGCTTTCCGGTTTTGAAGGCCCGCTAGGCTCTACGCAAGAACCGGTAAGTAACTTCCATGTTGACAGGTGTCATGAATGCCCCTTCCTCGCACATGCTCACTTCATGTCGTGCGTTTTTCGTGTTTGTCTCGTTTCTGGGATCGGGCCTCCGAGAAAAGAAACACCAATAGCTAGTCCAGGATCGGACAGCGAAGCTCTGGAGTCGGGCGCCTACAATAGAATTGTACAGGACCCTGCAGCGGCAGATGAAGCCGCCAGCTACGGATAGGAAGCTACTGGCGCGCCAGTCCTAACCGGCAGAGGTAACGACCGCCTCAGGCGAGTCACTTGTGACCACCTCCCTGCCAGTTACTTGTGACCGCGCGTCCTTGATCCAAAGTGCTAAAATCCCTGCAGGGTCCGTTGGTACGGCCCTCGAAATCCATCCTGCTGACCGGCACAGCAGCAACTTGTGACCGGAAAGCATGCTCCCCGCTGGTGGTGTTTCTTGTGGTGTCGGTCTCCCGGACGTCACCCTGCCCGCCCCCCACCCCCAACCCCCCGAAGTGGTCACAGTTGACCTGTCACAAGTGATGGTCTTGACATGCCCGAGTGCTTCAAAAACACCCTAAGAACGGCAAGAGATGGAGATAGGCAGCGAGGTGTCAACGCCTCTTCCTCCCAACGTCTGGACTTTACAAACCGAAGGACTCTAAAGCACCCGTACAACATGCAACCCCCAACTTCCCCTTCCCCCCCCCCAAAAAAAAAATGAAAATAAATGTAAAACCCCAAACCGAACTCCGAAACACGTTCCCATCCGTCACAATGCTGAGGCCTCAACGACGGCCGCTTGGAGCAGACGCTCTGTCACGAGGTGCCAGCTCTTGGGGATGAGGATTGGGGATTAGCGGGCCAGGTTCGGGTGTTCGGCTGTGGGTAAGAGACTAGGAATAAAGGAACTGGACCGGCTTCCTCTCTGTATTCACTGCTACTGCACTCTGACCTCGATGTCGCCAAGAATGGCCCAAGCGACAGAACCCTGAGCCCAGAACCCAGATAAAGCGCAATTTTCTGCAGGAGTGGGTGAGACACGCCGCCTTCTCGCCCGATGCGTCACAGGCCGTACATGTGATTTGCCCTAAACCTCCCATCCTAATGCCCCGCTCTAAACCTGGACAGTACCGCTTAGATCGCTCCAACTTCCACAGATTTGGCTTCTTTGGGCCTTAGCCTGGCTCCAAGGTCATCACCTCCGTCAGCGACAGCAACGCTCTATTGTGGGATGCAGCGACCGGTGCGTCCGATACTCAATTGTGGCCCATCAAGATTGCCCATAGCCTGATGCACAACCCCGCCCCCGCCCCCAAATGCGAAAGGGGCCTGAAGCCGAAAGGCACCCTGCAACTCGAGAGGGGAGGCAATTCAGGTGTACCCTCAACCTGCCAAAAAAGCACAGGTGCCTGATGGTGTTTCGAGGGCACACGGACTGGATCCGCTCCGGCCTCAACTGACTCCGTGACTGACCTCATTGTCACTACTGCACAGCCGGACAGGTGTGTTTTCATTCCAGGCACTGGAGTAAGCTGTCCATGCTTGAAGATTGAACACAAGACGACATACTTGCATTGTTGACTAGACAGGCCACTCAGGCTGAATCTGCAGCTTCGGCCAGCGATGCATGTCGGCGAGCGACGCCAGCATCACAGTGATCAACTTCACCTTGGCCCGAGTGGCCCTTCGGAGATCACCACAAGGATTTCGACACGACGTTCAACTCCAAATCCTAAATCCTGCCCGTTTCACCTTAAAACACGAAACCCGAAGGGCAACGCTTGCTCGAGTCCAGAACCCGCCCTGCCACCGCCAAGACACGACATGACGCACGCAGACACAGCACGAAGGGACCGGATGCGACACGAGAACAGGCATGAGAGCTTCGGGTTTAGGGTTGGAAAGCTTCGGAGCTTAGGTGTTTAGGTTTCCGGGCCGTCCAGGTAACGCCTGCTTCTCTTCAGACGGGAAGTATGCTGGCCACTCAGAGACCTCCAGCCCACCCTTGAGGAATGGCTTTACATCGTACTGGCTTAGCCTGCGGTTTTGGGGGGGGTTTGGTCCCCACCAGGTGCAGCATCTCACGCAGCATGCGTATCTATTTTTGTCCGATGAAATTCTCGTTTCTGCCGCCGCTCTGCACCTGACACTAGCCAGACGAACTCATCTGTTCATCCTTGTGTATATCAAACTGTATAAACAGGGTTTAGCGTAAAGAGTGTAGCGCTTGCTTGGCAAGACCTTCGCGCGAGGAGCCTCGATGCACGACACGCTTGGTAAGTTGAGCAGATGGGGTTTGGACGGGTAAATGCCGCTAGGTGTTGGGTGATTGTGGCGATTGTGGCTTCCTTATGTGAGGAAGAAAGCCCACGAAGGCAGTTCACGAAGCTTGGTCGGAAACCGGGTCTGTTCCAAGATGTTGTGTTGTGCAACTTGGGTACAACTTCCGCGTGAAATGGAGGTTGACGAAAATAGGGGACCCTGAAAAAGGACCCCATATAGTAGGAATTCCTTCAGAATAAGGGCCCCAAATAAGGTACCCCTAAGTTCGGAGAATCCCTAAACCCGCAACCCTAAACCCTACACCCTACACCCTACACCCTAAACCCTAAACCGCCCCCAAATGAAAAAGCCCTCGGAGGTGGCCACCGCTTCCAAGGATGCCTGCGCAAAGGTCTGGAGCCTCTCCAGCGGCCGGGGGCTCCCAGACTTGGGGGCACTAAAAGTGGGCGGAGGGTTTAAGGTTTAGGGTCTGGGGTTGGGGGTTGAGGGTTTAGGGTTTAGAGTTTAGGGGGGTTGTTTTGGCTCACGGACTGGGGTCAGACTGATGGCCTCTGATTGGAGCTACCGCCAAGCCTTCCAGTGCCTCAAGCTTCCAGAATGTCGGGACTTCGCAGCCCCCCAAAACCTGCAAAGAGCGCACCGAGAGCCACTGTGATGGACATGAAGGGCGTCGGCATTTAGGGGTTAAGGCTGCGCTTTCTGCTAGGAGACTGCCTGCGCAGCGTCACTGGTCACAACCAGTGGGTCCGGGAGCCTAGGTTACGTTCGTGAAGGTTCAGAGGTATATGGTATATAGGAACTGGTAGCATTGCACTCAAAGTGGCCTATACTGGAACTGCAACCTTGATGAAATACTTGGAATTTCGCACCCTTGCAGCTGCTCTTAGTTGTTTGAGGGCTGCGCAGGTTCCGGCGTTTAGAGTTACAGTACTGGGGCTTTGGCCAACACAGTCCTAAAGACTTCAACACTCTACAAACCCTACCGCAAACGCCAAATCATCAAGGATCCTCAGCTTTTAGCTGAGCTTGGTCCAGGTGTCTTGCAGACGATCTCAGTCGCCTCTAAACC